ATGTGTAATTATGTGGAAAAACATAGCTACTCACAGTACAACACATTACATATCATCAAATGCTGTTAAGTATATTTAAAAGGTAAGTCCAATATGCACACATATTCAATATGCACTCTAGTCCTTAAGTGTTCAGAAAGAAGATGCAAAGATGTTCACAAAGCAGTCAAACTTCAYACTTGTTTTGCAGCAATCTTCTTACTGATTTAGTCCTCCCAACACTCATAACTTACTATGTTACATCTCCTGCTACCTATCTTTCCTTCCTAAGAATATAAAAGAATAAGAGAGGTCTATTCATGAGCAAGATCCTTAGCTATTTAGCACTTAATTCTCATTTGATACCTCTTTAAAAAAAATCAAGTCAGAAGAGAAATTAGAATTAGAAGAGAATTTTGAAACAGGGTAGAACTTCTCTTATTTGTGATTAGTAGGACAAGAAGGATGATGACAATGTGATTCTTGAAGGATGGTGTTTGGAGAAGACAATACACATAGGAGAGATGCAGGGAGATGAAGTATATATTTGTATACTGTTTCACAAATAAAAAATAAAAATTATCTCCTATACAGTTGACTTGACAGTTCAAAATGCATTACAATTATTATGAGACATTAGAAAAGCAAACAAAACCCAATTTTCCCATATCAGTTTCACTGGAGCTCTAGGAAATGGAATATTTAAGTCACCAAGTTCCAAAGTACTTGGCTGATAATTATGGCAATACCTATCTCCAGTATCTTCATACTCTTTAAGATAATTTTAACTTTGAGTGTGAAGTCATTCCTGGTTTCTGAGATATACTGGATCTACTGGAGCACAGAATCACTCAAAATTAGCCTCATATTGTCTTGAGAGTTGTGCAAGGAAGGAGGGAGCTAGTGTCAACCACTAGGACTGAGCATAAAACAGACCAAATATCCACATGCTTGAGTCTCACCAAGCAAAGCTTTCAGACAATTCTAGTTTCCTACAAGTGCACAAATTTCTCTAAAAGTGAAGATCTATATGTACAGAAGATGAAGCAATAGAAACTGGAGTTAAAATCACAGGCTGTGTCAGCTACACGGTGGGAAATGAAGTCTGTGGAGTCTAGAAAAGTCACAGCAAGACCTAAAACACACCTTTAAAAATAAAAATGAAGTCCAGGACTTGATGGAAAATTCACTTAACTTCAAAAGTCTGCATTTATGCTCTAGTCTTCCCTGTTCAGTTWCTGAAGAGTGAGATCACAGGATGCTGTAAAAAGCCATTGATGCTGTGTTGTGATCATTCACAGTCTCGGGTTTTTGTTGAACCAGCTGCCTACCCCATACTGCTTGGAATCAAGGTTACCACAAGCAGCATTAGATTTGTATGCAATACAGACATACTTGTAAAATCAAACGGCCTGACCAACATGCCCAAAGCAATCAGCAACACTGGAGAATGTAGCTGTCAGATTTTGTCACAGTCTTTGCAAAAYTGACCATATGGGATGCTTACCACTCAGCTGTGTGTGAGTTCAACACAAAATTAGATTCATATGCCTTAAAATTCTTAAAGGTCTAAAAGTGTCTCTCCTTTAAATTGCCTGGGACATTTGTTAGGTGCAAGCTTTATTATACTCTTGTGGGCATAGTCGGATGAGGTTAATTTTCAAAATAATACCTTTTTTTTTCCTTCACATTTTTAATATTTTTAATTTTTGTCTTATGTCATCCTAATACAGAAGAAATGACAGCGCAGACTGGATTTCTTTCCTGAAACCATCTGAAGAATCAAGAATACAAAAACTGGGGAACAAGGACATAAAATTTTGAATGAATCTCATGCAAATGTTTCAGCGATACAATCAAAATGGCTGAAGTGCAAAACAAGTAACAACTACCAAAGAATAAAGTCTCTGGAAAAGAAATTATAAATATAGTAGGAAAGGAGAACAAAGTAAAATACAGAACTAACACATCAAAGAGGAAGAAAGCATATAGTTGATGACAGAAAGAAAATTCAGTGCTGGATACTTGACCCTTTCAATTTTAAGAGACAGAACTGCAAGCCAAATGTAGGAAAGAAGTAGTGAAAGATTTTCTGAAAAGTCGGCTATATTCAAGATGACAGAACCTGGTGAAATTCTCTCACATGTACTCTCAAGTACATGACAAATTAGATGAACAAGCTCTGAACCACTAGCAGTTTCAGGAATGAAAGAGGACAGAAAAAGGCAAAAAATCCCTTTTGAAAAGAAAAAGGGGAAGACTTGGGAAATTACTAACCAGCCAGCCTATATCTGACAGTAGCAGGAATATTCAACAAGTTCGTTAAATAAACAATTTACAAACATCTAGTGGATAGAAAAGGTGATAAGAACAGCAGTAATGAATTTATCAAGAAATCATATTGAATCCATCTACTTGCTCTCTCAACTAGGATATTTACCTAGTGGATTAAAGGAAGAAGCAGATGTAAAATATTTGAGCTATAATAAGGCTTTGTTTACTCTCCTAGACAAACAAAGTGGAGAATTATATTCTAGGTGAAATCATTACAAGATGTATAATCATCTAGAGGGAAAAAACACACTTATGGGGTAGTTTTCAAGGGCTGACTGTCAGATTTGAAATGGAATCATGCAGAGGTCTGACAATATTTCCTTTAATGATCTGGATGAAGAAAGAGAAAGCACATCCATGAAAGTGAGGGCAACATTAGGCTGCAAGTGGTTTAAAGCACTCCAGGGTATTAAAGTTCTGCATTATCTTGACAAATTGGAGAAAGAGCCTGAACAGAACAGCTAAAATTAGTAAATGCAAGTTCAAAGTAGTGTGTATCACAAGCAAAGAAATGAATCACACAAATACAAAACTGGAATAACTGGTCAATAGAAACAGTGAAGTATCCAGATGTTAGAGTAAATGCAAAGTGGACATGAGCTACAATGCAATGTTGCTTGAAAAAGAAGGATGAAGGACGGAAGGAAGGACGGAAGGAAGGAAGGAAGGAAGGAAGGAAGGAAGGAAGGAAGGAAGGAAGGAAGGAAGGAAGGAAGGAAGGAAGGAAGGAAGGACACCATTCCTAAATACAGTAACATGAACTGTCACATGTGAGATGTTTGATTATTTCCGCTCCTTTTTGACACAAGCCTCAAGTGCAGTGATGATCTGCTCAGTTTTGGGCCTGATCTGAAGAAACATGAAGGCATACTGGAAAAGACCGAGACAGTAAAAGAAATGGAAAGTGCAGCTTTTGCAGTTATAGGCAGTTTAGCCTACATACAGTTCATACAGCCTTAACTCACCTTCCAATAAGTAAATTAAATCATGTCAATATGGGCAAACCAACAGGAAAGGACAGTGAAAAACACAATGTGTCACCAGAAAACATCAAATACTACACAAGAAACAGTGAGGAATGTTTCATTCGTGAAATAACTCTATAAGAATCTGGCTCAAACAACATTCACCAAGTATATTAATCTCCAGTCCAACTGGAGGACTCAAAAGAGCTGCTGTGTCTTGCACACTGTTTGAAAATCTCTTTGGCAAAGAGTGATACAGAATGCTGCAAATGGGATTCCAAGTGTAAGGAAGCCTGAGGCCAGTGGAATCCTCACTACAGTCACAGGGGAAGAAACGCACCTAGGTGTAAGGACTAGATAAAGGTCTTTACTGTTGAACTCTTGCTTCTGATTGCTTTGTATTTCCAGTTCTGAAATGGAAAAAAAAAAAAAAAAAAAAAGTTCTTTCTGAGTCTGTCTGTGCCTGGTTACAAATCTCTGAAGAAGAAAGGCTTGGAAATGACAGACTCGTTTGTACCTGTCATGATAATAGGGCTGCACAATGGTGGGGCTGCAAAATAGGGACCCTAATCAAAACTGGTTTCAGATTTTTAGAGAATACACAGCAGAAAGACCTGTTAACTAGAAATGCAAGTAARAAGAGCATTATAAATACACTACTGTTATTATTACAAATAGGAAAATTGTCCAGACTATAAGAGATCAAAATTAAACATTTGGAGAATTTTGACAGAACATTTTTGTTTTTTATTTTCTCCTGCAATCTGAAAAAAAAAAATTGCCAAATTTCAGAATGCTTCACAAGATCTTCCATCTTTTATTCAGCTCTATTTCTGATGACACCATCTGGAATTTCTTCCATGAATGGAAGATGCCAGAGTAAAATCTATGGAGAGGAAAAAAGAAGATATTTCTCATTCAGATGTCTCCTCCAAGGCTCACAGATCACATCAAACTTAGTTTCCACATACCATGAAAGAATATTTTGCTAGTTGGTGGTCATGTATGGTCCTACCAATGTATTAAAGACTTTTACAGAAGAGATGTATTTCTCATAATCTGTATCATACATATAGAAGATATTTTTTTCATGATATTTCACCCAGTAATTCTCAGGGCTACCGCTTACATGAGGATGCTGTCTTTAAATGCTGTGCCTGCTTGATTGTCATTCAAGGGATAGGATGCTTTTTGTTTTATTTTGATGAAACAATTATTTACTAGCTTCTGAGTATTTATTTGAAAGGCTTTAAATCATTATTTGAAATACGTTTCAAAATCATAAGGAATTAATTGCGATCAAGGCCATRAAACACCTAATTGCTCTTCACTGTGCAAGGTCTGATCCCCATCAATGAGTTAAGGTGCCACAATAGTTAAAATAATCTAATTGCTACCATCCAAAGGAACAGTTTCATTGCTGCATGTTCCCATCATTTTCCTTATATTGGCTCTGGTATTTGATTTCTCTGTGAGCTAATTCAGCTCACTAAGCTGACAGAAAATTAATGTAACAGAAAAAAGGAGGTAGAGGGGAAGCAGATTCAGTCAGCATAAGAACTGCTAAATTAATCTTGGGCATTCTGGGACCCTCATAAACAGATATGTAACTGCTGATGTCAGTAAACTTAAAGGAATGGAATATCACCTTCCTAATATATACTTCCATATGACAAATCAGGCTGCATGGTTACATTAAAATACTAAAATGAATCAACTTACTGCGAGACAGATTCTCAAGGGCTTTTCCAAGTTTTTTGCTCTCTTGAAGAATATGATTTAGTTCATCAAAATCATGGCTCTCCGGTTTTGTCTTCCAATCCCAGTTAGGATGCTCTATTGACCTTGGCACTAAATATACACAGATATATACATGAAGTTTAGATTTGGTAGTTCAGACACCTATAGTAAAAAAAAGCTGCACAATGACTTTATGAGCTCAAGAAACTCATGAGTGGAAATGACTTCCTTCTCTTCCTACTTTACAGACGGAAATATTTTCTTTGATCAATAGGAAGAAAAAATAACTGAATAAACGCATACACAGGATGACTCTTGTGACTGAATTCATTGACAAACAAGAATAATTAATACTGACAAACATAAGGTAAAAAGAGATTGCAATAAAATATTGTGTTTGGAGATACTTTATTTATATCGAATAGAAGTGTGTGTCCAAGGGACCAATAAGGATAGAACGAACACACAAAAATAAACAACAGATACTTTGGGCTTTGCTAGTTATTTTATCCATAAGAAAAAGAATTTTTTTTTGTTTTGGATAATGGTTCTAAGTAAACATGTATAAAAATAATTTATTTAAAAAGTGTCATAAAATAACAGTCAATAAAAACAGTGAAACAAAACACATCCCTATTGCTCAGAGTGTATAAACTAATCATCTCTATTCTGATACATAAAGAAAACAAACTCTGATCTTTGGGAAGCACAGCYTACTACACATTACATACTACCAAAACTTTGGTTTAATTTTGAAAGAACATTTCTCAGTTGCTGAGCTAACCTCTCCTACAATGGCAAAGAATGAAGAAATCAGTTTGTGAGTGCTTTAAGACCTACAATATAGAGAGCTAAATGAGTATAAAAACAGTACTGTCTCTGGAACTCACTTTACACACCATTTTTTCACTCTTCCTATGTGATCTGTTGCCTTATCCACTCAAAATGATTGTTGAATTGTCTCTAGATACGACACTACAGTGCTGAGAACTGCATACTATTCTATGAAGAACATGTCTTTATGTTTCCAGACCTCAGTTTTATCCAAAAAAAAAAAAAAAAAAAAAAAAGGTACTTTACCATTCAAAAATTCAGGGCACCTGTATGATTGCATCAGGAAATTTCACACTTTGAGTTCTGGTAGCCATTACATGAAGTGCTGCATAACAGCTGCTCTCAAAATTTATCTAAATGATGACAGCACCATTGTGCTATGTAAATGCTGTGTAAATAGGGAGTCTACTCTGGTTTTGCTCCATAAGGGAAATGTGACGTTGTCATCTTTTGCAGGTAAGGCCCCATGGAACAAAGTTTAATTTAACTGCTTCTGTCAGAGAATGTCATTCCAATGCCTATCGACATAAACCAAACCGTCTTAAAATCCATACAGATGCCAACCAAAAGAATGCATCCTGATGTGTAAAATCCACTCAGGAACTTGGATAAATATCAGGGGAATTACTATCTTAGACTGCTCTAAAAGAAAGAAGGCAAAGGCAACATTAAAAAGGACACACAGAGAAAAGAGACAGAAGAAGGAGACACAGGAAGTCCCGGGAAGAAGAGAGGGGCAAGAGTGAGAATGTCAGAAATTGGTTCTGCTTTGTGTTCAAAGAAGATAAGCCATCAATTTCCCTTTGAAAAAAAAAACACAAATAACGAACAAAGTAGTTTTGTATTGAATAGATACATTTCTCAAGCATAAGCATTAGGCTATTAGGCAAGGTAATGACTGGAYTATACTCAGATGGACAGTTTATAATTTTCTTGATGCTTTTAAATGTGGATCATTTATTTTCTAATGCATTGTTTTTGTAATTATGATCTTCATTAAAAGCTACTTAAAATGCTATGTGATCAAAAATTGGCTCCATTCACAGCCTCAGGAATTCAGTTAGGTACCACAACTTCAGTATTTCTCCTTTTTTTCCCCTTATTTGCAAAGAGAAAACCAATTTTCCTTATAGTACTATTTCTAAATTTGTATTAATTCTTAATATTTAGTTAAAAAAAATCTAAAATGAGTTCTTTCCCTTTTTGTTCATTTTTGGTTTACAGTAAGATGACAAGTGCCTTTATCATTTACTTTTTCAGCTGTATCTGCTTTCTCTTTGTATCACTTTACCTTGCTGGCAATTTGAATCTTTTCTTTCTATGTCTCTGCTAAACTCGTGTGTGCACAAGAAAAAAGGTCCTTAGCATCACCAATGCTTCCTATAATTTAAGACACTAAAACTATGTAAAAAGATGTCCAAATCTTAGAATTTCTGTTTTGCAAGTAATTACAACCACTGTACTTTAATTGATGTGAATTTGGAATGCTGAATTTTTCAAAATACCAAAGGGATGGAGATTTTGAGAAATCACGTGATTTCAAAACAAAATGTATCTTGGGACCCATGACTAGTGCTCAATAAAACAGACATCAGTTCTACTCATCAGCCCCCAACAACCTGATGGAAATCTGCTCTGCATACTGATTAGCATGCTCTGTGTTTCAGTGAGCCCTTTTTTGTATTTCAGTCAAAATGTATCAGAACAGGCATGCTGCCACGAAACATTTCTGTTTCAACRAATTATTCCATTGTGTCCAAAGTGAGGCGGGGAGTAATGCAGAATTAGAACTGCCTAGAATTATACTGTTTCTGGAGAATATATTTTTCATACCTACCTACTTTTGGTCCAGGTAATGAACAGACGCTAAAATCTTTGTTCCAGACTGTGATTTTTGTCTCTTTTTTCAAGGTTCATTTTTAGTGCACATGCAAAACTTTCAAAACTTAAACTTTTATCTTCCCAACTATGAGAGCAATAAATACTGGTCATTTTCAGATAGGTGGCTTTGTGTGAAGCGTGCCAAACTCTACATAGACCATATAATCCTATGATTTAATGAAAGCTGTATTCTGTGTAAAATCCATCATATACCATTTCAACTCATATCTCACTAAAGATTTAAGTAAAATCCATTCATAATATTGCAACTTTCCTGTTCCTTTATTATACTCAGTCACTCAGTCATTCCTCAAAATCAACACGTCAGTATTTCAAACCCCTCATCATAGTACCAGGCTCAACTTCATCCCTATTATTTGAGAGATTTACACAGTACTATGCCTTGAATCTCTGTGACTACAATTTAGTAGATGTATGATATCTACACATAGCATTTGTATGGAAATATTTAGCTTTCTCTTTTTCAAACTGAGATTTCATGCTAGAAATAGTCCAGTTTTATAATCTTATTTCAGAAAACTGCAAGAATGTGTTTTTCAGTATTTCTGACTTTCCAGTTTCCCAGTCAATTAATGCACATCAACAGCAGATTCATTCACAGATTTGTTACGAATTCTCTGTCATAAATTAACAGATCATTATTTTTTATTGGATGAGAGTACAAGATTGGTACTGTTTTTATCTACGTATACCTGTCTTTTCAAGACATGATTTGAAGAAAGAATCAGACCAGTTGCTCATTAAATCCCCCAGCCATGAACCAGTAGGTTCATGGGAAGGTTATTTTCATTATAAGGCACCTGGCTGCTTACTCATGCACAGACATGCTCATGGCAGTAAAGAAGTCCTTCTTAGTTCTGGAGCTACTTTTCATGAATACATGGTATGGCAAGCTTGCATCACAAAGAACAAAAATACAGGCATAATTGTTGCTCATAAAAATATCCATGTATTTAAATCTCACAATAACATTCATATTAGAGTTCTCATTGTGATCCAATAGCAAAACTATCTTACAAAGTACTTTGTATACTGCCAGAGGGGGATATATAGAACTAGACTGACCGTGGGCATTAAAAGGTACCAAACACTCTAACAGGATACTGGAAAATCTGAAAAGAGAATACTGAACTGAAGCAGAGTGAAAACATGATCTGTGGTCTGATTTAATATGGAGGTAGAGAAGGGACCTTACTATTAAGCCTAAGAGTAGCTAGCTGGGAAGYGAGAGTTGCTTCACAAACTATTCAGAAACTACAGAATGTGTTCTTCAAATGCAGAATGTGATGATCTGAAAAATAAATTAATAAGTAATATATAATTAATACATAATTAGATTAATAAGTAATACCTATACTAAGCAGTAAACATCCTAGCTTCAAGCCTCTTTCCTTGTCAGACCAAAGAAGCTTAAATATGTTTTTGCACACATCAGGTGTATATTCAGATCTGTTAGATACCAGGTTTGTTCRAAGAGGGACTGAGGTGGTAACAGTGAGAAGAAGGGACTGGAGGAATTTTCCTAGTAAGAATCTGGATGAATTCTAAATGAGAGGCAACTAAACTAGGGTCTTGTAGTTAACTGCATAAGGAAGAGTAATCTGTCCAAGAAAAACATGCACACTGCAGTGAACATCAGCTCTGCTGAAGGAAAAAATATTTTCTGTTAAATAAATTCATTCTTCTGATGTTTCCCAAAGCTTCCTCTGAAATGTGGGTTCTTCTCAGCACTGAATCAAGTTTTAAGTTTAAGAACATTTMAACAAGATAGTTCTAAAACACAGGCTCTGTAGCAGAATTAGGAAAAAATAGGAAATGAAAAATACAGGGAGGTATGAGATCAGTGAATAATTTAGGCTGTAAGGCACCTACTAAGTTCTCCCAGTCCAAAATACTGCTCAGAGCTGCATCATTTAGATAAGATTGCTCAGGGCTTTGTCTAGCTGATTTTGGAGTATTCCAGCCTCTCTGGGTAACTTGTTCATCCTCACACCCTCACAGTAAAAATAGATTTTGCTGCCTCTTGTCCTTTTACCACACACCTTTGAGAAGAATTTGGCATTGTCTTCTCTATACCCTTCTATCTGGTAGCTGAAAATAGAAATAAAATCTGCAGTTAGCTTTCTCTTCCCAAAAGGCTACAAAAAACAATTCCTTCAACCTCAATCACCATGAACTCATCAGTTTGATGGACCTCTGCTGGGTTCACTCAAGTAATCACTGTCTTTAATGTGACATACTCCATATGCCATCTCAGACGTGCCAAGGAGAKAGGAAGAACTATTTCTACCAGCCTGCTGGTTACATTCTCACTAATGCAGCCCAATATGCAGTTGGCCTTCATCCCTGAAAAGGCACACAGCCACCTCTGGCTCATATTCACATTCCCTTCGCATGGCATCTCAAGCCATTTTCTGCAAAGCTACTTCTTAGCCAGCAGACCCCAGTTCATAGTATTGCACAGCATTGCATTCTACCCCCAGATGCAGGATTTTGTTCTTTGTTGAACTTTATGAGGTTTCTGGTGTCCGTCTAAAAATGAGGTGACAGCACRCACTGCTCAAGTCATTGTCCAGATGATTAAGAAAGACTTTTAAACAGTCCTGGATTCAGTACTAGACTTTTAAGGATACCTCTAGTGACAGGCTTACAGTTAGAGATTAGTTATTGTATATTACTTATGACAACTCTTGGAATCCACAGCTGAGTAAACCTGTTGTCCACTTTTCCAGACCATAGCTCAACAATTTAGTTATAAGGATACTAGCAGAGGCCATGTCAAAGTCAATACCTTGCTAAAGTCAAAGTATTAAAGGGTTCACAACTCTCCTCTGCAACACAGAACCAGTCATTACATTGTAAAGGGCAATCTGATTAGTTAGATATGTTCTGGTAAATCAATGTTGACTGGTCTCCCACTGGCATTTTCCCTGACCTTATTTTTCCTGATGACGGACTCATCAGAAACCCTTGTTGCCCAGTACAAGAAGAGATGACTTTCATTGTCCTAGAGAAATTCAAGATCTCTGTCCCCGTAGGCACAAGGTTTCAAATTCAGAATCAGTAGCTGCCCTTCAACCCATGAACACAGATCCTTGAGGTTACTCTTACTATGTATATATAAACTATTCTTTGAGTGATACATGATCTYGCAGCTTAAAGCACCTGTGCCTTCTATATCTCTCTCACATCCTCTTATGAGATGATGTAAGGACAGCCRAGCATGAGGCTGGTAGGGGACATCCAAATGAAGAAAGTGGTATCCCCCAACCTGAGATCAAGGCTGAGCACTTGACACCTTTTGGAGATGACATGGGAATCATTTTATCTATATTACAGGCTCTGAAGTGCAAACACTGATGGGGAGGAAGATAATACTTCATACGATGACTGGAGAAGCTCAGAGTACTATGGAACATTGTGGAACTCTTTACCTTCAGAAGTTGCTGTCATCCAGAACACACTGTTAATTTATGAGCAGGTATGTCCACTTCTCTAAAAATCCAGATTTAATACTGAAAATGCATTAAAATTCACACTTTTGACTTAAAATTCTTATGTCTGGACAGACATTCTGGACATTCATATGTCTGGAGAGAGGTATGTCTGAAGATCTAGTGATCAAATATCAGCCTTTTTGAAGCAGGGAACGTGCCTCATGGAGAAGAAAGAGACACACAAGTTCCATTTCCAGGGCAAATGAATAAATCTCAGGATCATTCTGGAATAATACAATCATTTTAAAACCGTGTCATGGGACACAGTTTTCTCTTTTTTTTTTTCAGGTTTTGTTATTATAATTTATTCTCAGTCAAAAAGGTTAGACTTCCTAACCTTACAAGATTGATAATTACCCCAAAACACAGTGTCTGTTTTACTCATAAATCTCTCATGATTTATTTTTCCCATTGCTCTGTTATATTTTASCCTATCAAGGCCACCAGGAGATTCATCACTGACTCTACAGAAGTCAGGAATTTACTGTCTTGTTTTTAGGGGATGCTTTCTGTTGTGAATATATGGTATATCTGTTCTTATCTGCTTAATCTTACCATACTTAGAGTTACTAATAAGTTTCACAATAATAAATAAAAATTTTAGAAAGCTACAATACTCCATAGATCAAAATCATTTTAAAATTTACTTATGAAAATACTGTGTACATATCTCTGTGTGAGTATATGTGTGCATGTATACATATCACATATTGTATAGTATATGCTTGTCTAAAAACCTGATAAAACTCAAGCTTAAAACTAATTTCTTTAACAAGTCTGTACCTTAAATCTATACACATGAATTGCTATATATTATAATGACTTTCTGCATCTATTTTTAGTTCTTCTGTTCTACAGGTCAYTGACAATCTTCTCTTCAGTCATTCTATTTCTTTTCTGCCTTTTCTTTCAGCATACATTTAGGCTCCTTCAGCAACTCTCAGAGCAGTACTTATTCTGCTGACACCAACCCTGTACTTTGAACAAAATGTGTTGACAAGTCAGAGTCTTGCATCACCTGGCCCTCCAAAAAATCTATCAGAACTAGTATCTAAAGAATAGATCTTATAAATGTAAAATGACAAAGAAAAACATCAAATCAACACCAGCATCTGAATGTAAATGCGCATAACAGCTCAAATATTCTTCTATCTTAACTATATCTGACAATATAAAGTATGATACATAACGCAACTGAAAATAACGCAAGAGTCAAACTCCTCCAATGTGTATATTGAGCCATTTCAACTAGTCATAGTTTGGTTTTCATTTTAATCCTAATGTAAYAGGAAAACACACTGCAGATTTGGAAGGATGCACCAATTAATAATGGACTGAAACTTTCTTACATGACTTGGACTCCGGTGATGGTGGAGAAATGTTGGACACAGCAAGGTCACTCTTTGATTTTTTAGGCTTCTTTGCATTTACCTGCCAAGGTTTATCATAACTTCTGAAATCTCTCCTTGTTCCTTTATTTTCTGTTACAAAAATAAAATTGGACAATTATAACATTCATGATATCACTTTTGAAGGATTAGATAAACAACTAATCAATAAAATTCAACCTACAACAAAGTCAGCTATTTTTGTTCTCTTAATGATAATTTTCATACCATAATTTCTTTGATTTTCTCAACACAAAATGTGAGAAATTCATTAGCACATTTCTGGTTAAAAATAAAATGGCTTAATTTGTTGTCATCAAGAAGTCCTTAACAACGTTTGTTCTGTACCATGGTTGAGTGTCYATGCTTAAAACTTATATTTTGATATAAATAAAAGGTTCATTTGTCAGGCAATTAACATTTTGATTACCAATAACTGAGGGAAACCTATTACAATCTCAAAAAGATTATCAGTCACTTTTTTAAATACATAACGAGCTTTCTAATAACAACTTATAGCGGAGTAGCAGTTAAAATCAAAGTAGATGTTATTTCAGTAGGTTTTTTTTTATGCTTGTAAAGATCTCAAAATGAAATTATTCACACCATTAATTACTAATACTAGTACTAATAATGCAGTAGTAATGATGGGATATTAAAATGTATTATTTTATTATATATTATTTTATTAAAAATAATATTGATCTTAATATAGCTTAGAGGAGCGAAGAAAAAGGAAGCAGAAAGCAGAAGGAAGAGCAGAGGAATAAAGGGAAATTTAGATATACTTTTTTCTCACTGACATAGGGCTGTTTCCATCCCTGTAACTCTTATTCATACTCAAATAATTTGTCCACAGGGTGACCTGATCAGCAATATACATTAAGTCCAGTATACACTGGACAAATAGGGTTTATTATGCATGCTTAATACTGCAGAGTAGCACATGTGCAGTAAGTGTGCAGGCATCTAGGAAATCAGTAACAAAATTATGGGAATATTATACTGAAGACTGGCCCTTTCTAGCATACAGTGCATAAAGGTATTTCATACATACCTGCAGTTTCACTCTCTGCCCAAAGGGCAGCAGATCCAGACAATGTTCTCTGAAGCTGACTGCGGGTCCCCTGTTTGGACTGAAGATGATCAATTAGAAATGGGATTGGCTGGTCAGGTGTCTCTGTTATCAGCTTGGTCATCAACTCCTTCAGAAAATTAAAACAAAAGAAAAAATAAATAGTGAAATGCTGCATCTAACTTTATACTGGCCAAAAAGGAATATTACTAAAGGAAAAATCTGTTTTCAACTTTTGAGAAAAAAATCTGCAAACAGCAATCTTTCAATAAACTGTGGATAGCTTTGTCCTCTGAAGTATCACATACGTAGCAATCCTAGCCTGTAGACTTATTTACTTGATAGAATTTACCCAAAACAACATGAAWCCTTCTTGTCTAATCATTCAGGACAGTGAAGAGCTTCTCTCCAATCCACAGCCAAGATTCTTTTGTACRAAAACTGGCAGGTCGGGAAGGCTGGGGCAACTCTAAACCCTGCCCAGATACGGAACAAGGATCTGTTCCGAACAYGCACTCAGATCCAGGAACTACAAAGTCTGCCCAAATGGGCATAGCCATTTTTTAAAGTCAGTCCTCCAGAGCATGAGAACATTTAACTAAGCATATCTGGCATCCTTTCTCATAGATATTATTTCTGAAGAGCMTTTTATTGCACCATGCAGAAAAGGATGCCACACCAGAGTCAAGAGGACACCGTTCCTACCCCATGCATTCCCACTGTCTTATTGCTGTTGCACCCGCTAGTGTTGGAAAACTGCAGAAAAAGAGGCTCTCTTGCTCCTTATTGCTCCTGAGGTCATTCCCAACTCTCCCTACGTGGCTCAGGGCTTAGGAATATAGAAAAAAAAAAATCTGTGGTTTTGTGATGGGCATGTACACTGAGTGAAAATCTATGTGGGAAGGGACCTTGATATCCCTATAGCATCATGGGGAACGTGTAGCTGTCACTACAAAACAAAACAAGCAACATGGAAGTCAGAAAATACAACAAATTTAGGACTGAAAAAAGGAATAATTAACAAGAGTATTTATTTTCTTTTTGTTTACTCCCATGCACAAATCTTACCATAAACCTCCATACAGTTAATTGTCTCCTCTTTATGATTTTCATATTTTATTCAGCAGWTTATTTAATGAATGCTTTTAAAAAATATCTGTAGTTGGCCTAACAGTCAGTTATGCTTGAAAAGAGATTTAAGAGGGAGTATGATGAAGGTTAGTAAACATGAGTAACAGCGTGCAGTATTTTAAGATGCTGCAAGGTATCCTGGTCCACTTTAACACTTTATGGTTTTCTTATTCAAATATGTATGTAAAGAATGAGACATAAGCAAAAATGAAATAGTAACAAGCTTTCCATTTGAGTGGGATTTAACTTTAGAAACCAAAGAGGAGAAAAAATGTCCAATCTCATTTCCTAAAAACATTAGATGAAGATCATCTGTTATGTGATTTTTTGTAACTATTTACAGGGAATCAAATAATGTGTCTTTGGTTTTGAAATTGAAATCCACAGGAAGAAATGAAGCTACTAATCTTAGAAATGGCAAAATGCTAGCGTGCAACTTCATGCAGACTGCCTTTCCCCAATATAAGAGAAATGCTCTGGTTTACATCATATGGAGAAAAATCCAGCAGTTGGAGTAGTTCATTCTTGGTTGCTTGGCAATGCTCTGAGTGTAAGCAATATTAGTTTTTTTCCATGGCAAAATACAGAATTGGTGACAACTGGAGAGCTGTGATCATACGCTTGTGATGGGCCACAACAGCTCCAGGGATTCCATTGCAAGCAAAGGATCCTCATATGAACTGGAAAGTGCCAATCTGTAATAGGTGACCTGCAACTCAAATCATTTCTCTAAACGATGGTTTGAAATTGTGAATATTCTGTCTTAGATTAATAAAAACTGGATTGTGAGAATTTAGAAACCTTCATTGATACTGAGAATCTGTCAATAAAATATTATGAAACTAATGTATCATTAGGAACATACAGAACTGAAAAAATTTAGAATGTCTACATGTCAATGCAAGAGTAATGCTATTTGATTACTGTTATCACTGATATATTTGTTATGGGCAGAAATGGTCATTAACAAGAACAAGCCTAAACAGATAAGGCTGATTACAGGATTCTTTACCTTATATCGAGTTACAGCACTGATACAGAAGGACACTGCCACACAAGACAAAAAACCTACCKGCTACTGCAAAATTTCTTCAAGTGAAATTAGATGTTCAGTAAGAAAACATCTGTATTTACTAACTGCTTGTTTATAATAGGGATTAAGTGATACAGAGGCTTGTACTGGCCCAAACATAAAGAATTGGTTCATTCTGTGAGATTAGTTAGAAAAAAATTAAAAGAACTACAGACAGAGGCTGTTTTCGTCTATCCAGTCTAGTAAATGATCTGTACAAATATCGTACTCATAAAAAGAAAAAAAGAAATCATTGCTCAAATCCTCATAAACGGCAAATAGTAGGCAATTGRAAAAAAAAAGMGAAAGAAAAAAATGATTTCTGCAGTAAGTCTCAYATTGACTTGCCTCAAGCATTTCCAGAGATGGCATTAAAAGTCAATATAATTTAAAGTCAATATAAAAAGCCGGCTCAGATATGAAGCTTGGCATGGCAAGCAAAACGTTATTTTTTATTATGGTTCATTGCAAAAGAGGGGCAAACAAACCGTTAGGGATTGCTTTCTCAAGCAACCAAGAGGCCAGAGAGGGCTCCTGTGTCCTGCAGCGGTCCTTCTGGGCCTCGTGGCAGTTGCAGAGAGCATCCCCACCACCAGCAGCAACAGCAGCAGCCGGGACAGCAGCTCTCAGATGCTCTCTGCTCACAGATCCCCATTTGCAGGGAGCTGCTTGCACTCCCTCCTGCCACACACATTTTGGTAAACAGTAGGAATAACATCCTCCATGGTACTCACAATAGCCCGAAAAAGATTACAGAAGTGGAAGTATTAAAACAGAAAAACTCAAGCATACAACAGGTTGCAGAAACAAGTTATCAGTAGTCTGATCTGATTCAGAATGTGCTAAGTAAGGAAGTTTTCACAAGAAAATAAAAGAGACCAGCTACCCTCACATGAAGCCGCCTCTGCATCAGCAGTACAATAAAATAGCACAAGTTCATTGAAGCTCACTGAGATTCATTTCATGGCATGCAATCCAACAGTAACTTTCAACAATTTACTAGACATAAACACAAAAACACAAGATTTTTTTATGGCCTTAATAAACATTAGCTCATCTCTCTCTTTGCTTTGTAGTCGAAATTTTTACATTTCYTATTTTTTTCCATTTTAACAAAATAAGAATCTTTTTTTGTCTATCTTTACAACATGTTCTTCCAGGCACAGTCTGCAGGACCMTAACAATGAAAACAGATCGTGTGACAGATTGGGTCCCCAGGCTGCCAGATGAACTGCTCATCACCCATAACTTCTTTCTTCCTATCTTCTTTCCACTGCTATCTCCACCTTTTCCTCTGTGTCCTTTCGTCTTCTCTATCAGTGAGACTCTCTCTCGGCTCTCCCTTCTAGTTGTATAACAGGTGAGGAAGCCTGGTAAGTGAAAGGTCTCTAGATCCTAATTCCCATCAGAGAGCTGCAGCACAGGAAAGGAGTGAAAGGAAATCCACATCACTGCATAGCTAGAGGCTACAGCACTGGGGTAGATAAATTATTTTGTGCTGTTTCTCTCCTGTATCATCCTAAATTAAGTGTTGTCCTGATTACAATAATAAAAATAAAAAAAAAAATAAATAAATAAAAAAAAACTTGTTTGATGAGATCCAGAGAAAAATGGTAACTAACTTCTCTAAGGACTGCAGTATGCAAACTTCTCTAAGGATAGCACCTTGCACTATGAAAAACATAAATAAAACTGGTTGTTTGTAATTTCTCCTTAAGGATGTATTCATATGCTTTTACACTGCCTAATTTTATTAAGCTACACAAGCTTGACTGCTTTAAAAGGCASTTGCAAAAGTTGATCTGTGGGTATTTCCAAGAGACAGATTCACATACATATTTGTGAGACTGCAAAAGATCTTGAATCACGTCTGAATCAGTGACTTAATAAATTAATTCTTTATGAGGAAGTAATCTTTCATGATTGCGCTATCCTGAGGTGCTCTATTAGTTATTCAACGCAGGCTCAAATTTTAATTTTCCAGCGACTGTCCATGCACTTCATACAAATGAAACAGTCTTCACAGTCTATTAATCATAGGCCATATTACAAGAAAGCTCTAATTAGCTATGTCTAAATGTACCTATCTGGATATTAAGTTAATTAAGAGACATTCTATCTTGCTCTGTAATTGATAACAGTAACTACAGAACAATCGCAGGTTTTATTTTTCATGATACAGACTTCTACACTCTGTGGCAGAGATTTTGGCTCTATTACAGTATCATTTCATGGTTAAAATTAGATGCTTGAAGTGGGCAGAGTGAATTGCCCTGAGCAGACGCCTGCCTCTCTCTCTCCCTCTCTCTTGACCAAAWAAAAGAGATTAGATGGCTTAGCTTAGACTTCAAGGCTTGGGTGATATTCAGTTCAGAATTAAAACAATTAAATATAGGAGTCTTCACAGAGATGTCCATGATGATTTAGTCAATGAAGCCACATGAGGCTAGAGAGCTGGTCAGCTGGCTAGGAAGTAACAGCCTAGGTAGGATACACAAAACTGCTCTCCAGGCTCCACTGACTGTATTGACTAGGCAGCTATTGACCACAGGATTATCCAAAGCATCCCGAGGAGCTTAGACACAAGCAGACACCCAAATTTAGGTTTGCTCATCACTTCATACAGGCTATGTGAACACAGAAGACGTAAAGGCTGATGAAAAACTGGGTAAGGAAAGGAAGTTTAGTAGAGAAAGCTTTTGTGGTTGCCACCTCTAGAATTCCTTTGTTATTTATGCAATAATAGACCAAGGAAAATGAAGAAAAATATTTTTCATTTTTTGTTGATAATGATTAAAAATTAAATGTATGAAATTAAATGTGGAAATTCACACCAAATATTCAAAATGAACTTCTAGACATTCTAAGTGTTCAGGAAATAATCATCACTGTTCCACTCTATGAAATAAATTATTCAACTCAAAACA